GGTGCCGCGGGTCCCGGAGGTGCTGGAGCTGGAGCTGCTGAGGGTGTTGGCGCTGAGGCTACTGCTGTCGGTCCTGGAGGCGGTCCTGCTGGGGGTGCTACTGGTGCTGCTGGAGGTCCTGGAGCTGGAGGTGCTGCTGGCGCTGGTGCTCCCGCTTGGGGTACTGGTGCTGTCCCTGCTGTGTCTGGAGTCGCCGCGCGGCCTAGACCGTACTTCGTTCCGCTCCTTCAGCAGGTTCTTGGTCTCCCGCCTTCTACTGGTCCTCCTCCTCCCTTAGAGTGTCCACAGCCTGTCCTGTCACAGTTCCAGTTACAGCCGGCCTCCCCACTGCCCGCTCCTTCTCCCTACACTGGTCCTACTGGAGGTCTTGCTGAGCGTCGTGAGCCTGCGTCTCGTCCTGCGTCGCCTGTCCGTGCTGCTCGCACTAGTGGTCGTGGTTCGCGTCAGCGTCCTCCTCCTGTCCCTGGCACGCACCGGATGTCTCTGCGTCCGTCCACTGCTCCTCTGCGTGCCCCTTTGCCTTCTCCTCCTGAGTCCTCTCTTCCTGCTCTTCCTGACCCGGAGTCGGACTCTCTTCGTGCTGCCAGTCCTGCTGTCACACGTCTCCTTGCTACTGTCGTCACTGACCCCTCTTTTGAGTCCACTGCTGCGTCTGCACTTGTTGCTGAGCTCGTCGACTTTGCTGCTCGCTGTCGTCTAGACTACGCTGCCGGTCTTGTTGCTGAGTCTGCGTCTGTCTGTCCTCCGTCCGTCGGGGGTGAGTGTGCTCTTGGCACGGACGTCCTTGAGGACAGGCAGGAGGAGTTCCGGTGTCTGGCTGCTGCTTCACCTCATCTCGCGTCCGTACTACTTGCCCCTGAGGGAGACCCGGATGCACTAGACATCCCGACTCCGCGCTCTTACGCGGAGGCCGTAGAGGGTCCCTACTCCTCTCAGTGGCAGGCAGCTATGGATGCAGAGATGGCGTCCTGGAAGTCCACAGGCACCTACGTTGACGCGGTTCCCCCTCCTGGGGCGAACATCGTCAGTGGCATGTGGATCTTCAGGGTGAAGCGGCCGCCGGGCTCTCCACCTGTCTTCAAGGCGCGGTACGTCGCTCGTGGCTTCAGTCAGCGGCAGGGAGTTGACTACTTTCAGACCTTCTCTCCCACCCCGAAGATGACCACTCTTCGGGTGCTGCTGCACATAGCCGCTCAGCGCGACTACGAGCTCCACTCTCTTGACTTCAGTACTGCTTTCTTGCAGGGTAGCCTGCACGAGGAGATCTGGCTGCGCCGTCCACCTGGCTTCACTGGGACTTTTCCTCCTGGCACCCAGTGGAGCCTCCGACGGCCAGTCTACGGTCTCCGCCAGGCACCGCGTGAGTGGCACGACACACTGAGGACTACGCTTGCGGCTCTTGGGTTTGCTCCCTCTACTGCTGACCCGTCGTTGTTTCTGCGCACCGACACTTCTTTGCCGCCGTTCTACGTCCTCGTGTACGTCGACGACTTGGTCTTTGCCACAGCTGACACTGCTGGACTAGCCTACGTGAAGTCCGAGCTGCAGAAGAGACACACGTGCACAGACCTGGGTGAACTGCGCAGCTACCTTGGCTTGCAGATCACTCGGGACAGAGCACGCCGCACCATTACCTTGACTCAGTCACACATGGTGCAGCAGGTCCTTCAGCGCTTCGGCTTCACGTACTCCTCGCCTCAGGCCACTCCTCTGTCTACTCGCCACTCGCTCTCAGCTCTGCCTTCGGATGAGTCCGTAGAGTCGAGTGGCCCGTACCCAGAGCTTGTTGGCTGCCTCATGTACCTGATGACCTGCACACGACCTGACCTTGCATACCCTCTTAGCATTCTTGCACGCTATGTTGCTCCTGGGAGACACCGACCAGAGCACATGGCTGCAGCTAAGAGGGTGTTGCGCTACTTGTGCAGTACGTCGGGCATGGGGCTAGTGCTTGGAGGGCGGAGTCCAGTGGTCCTCACTGGGCACGCGGACGCTTCTTGGGCAGACGACCAGGCTACACAGCGGTCGTCGCAGGGTTACACCTTCAGTCTTGGTTCCGGCTCTGTCTCGTGGCGGGCTACTCGCTCGTCCTCTGTTCTCAGCTCCAGTTGTGAGGCTGAGATCTACGCCGGGGCCATGGCTGCACAGGAGCTTCGCTGGCTCACCTACCTGCTGACTGACCTTGGAGAGCCGCCTCGTTCTCCTCCAGTGCTGTACGTAGACAACAAGGCCATGCTGGCCTTGTGTCGAGAGCAGCGCTTGGAGCACAGAACGAAGCACATTGCTCTCCGTTACTTTCTTGCTCGTGAGCTGCAGCAGCGTGGTCAGTTGCGACTTGCTTACGTGGCCTCTGAGGCCAACACTGCTGATGTGTTCACCAAGGCACTTGCGCCTTGTGACCATCAGCGCTTCTGCACCCAGCTGGGTCTTGTACCTGTCTTGCCTCACTTGCTCTCTTCTTGACCTTGCTTGTACTGTTACATATATATACCTGCTCTTGCTTGTCTAGCTCTATATATATATGTGTACTCCTGCATGTGAACTGGCCTTGTGGCCTTGTCGTTGTGCTCGGACTGTGTGGTGACTTTGTGATCCACCCTGAGCTTGCTCTGCTTTGCTTGACTGGTCTTGTGACCCCTTGTTCTCCCCCACTTTGCCTATGGGGGTGTGTCAGAACATTATATAGCTTATGCTGTTGTGTAGGCTATAGTGGGGTATCCCATAAGGGGTACAACCCAATTAGGGTTTCCTATTTGTACTCACTTCATTTCATAGTTCACCCATTTCTCGTTCTTCATTTTCACACCCCCTTCTACCTGAACTACGGGCAAAAGCCTACAGTGCCCATGACGCCGAGTCCGGACAACCCAACACCACGTGCACAGCAATTTGCCGAAATTCTGCAAGCTGCCCGCACCAGAGCCGCTGAAGCAATTAAAAAAGCCAACGCCATCGCAAAACGCAACACTGACCGCCACCGCCGCCCAGTCACGTACCAGTCGGGGGACTACGTACTGCTCGATACACAGAACTTAAGACTGCCCGTCGTACCGAAATTACGACCGCGCTACTGTGGACCCTTCCAAATCAGCCACATGATATTACCCCAGTGACAGCCCACCTACTGCTGCCGACGGACTGGTACATCAACCCTTCATTCCACGTCAGGCTACTTCGCCCATACATCCCAACCACAAGCCAACTGCCTCGTCAACGCCCGCCATCCATGACTCGCCCTGCATCAGAGCCGATCATCGAGCCCGAAAAAATCCTGAGCCACCGGATTCGACACCCCACGGGAATCAGGAGGATTGAATTCCTCGTCCGCTGGAAGGACCGCACGCCAACTGAGGATAGCTGGGTGCCCCTGGCCAACATCGAAAACCACCCTGCCCTGCAAGTGTACCTGAGGAGCCGGGGTTTCCGCGATTTACACGCACTCGCGTAGCGGAGGGGGCTTCTTGAGGAGGGGGGGGGGTAGTGTAAGGAATTTTCTTGATGTTCCTTAAGCCAGGGGTTTTTTTATCAGAGTAAATTACTCTGTTTCTCTGAAAATCAGAGTGGTTTTTAGGGGGTCACTCTGACGTGTCTTGGTATTTTTTTTGGAAGATAAGTTTTCTCTGATTTGTCAGGGTTCTGGTTTTAGCTACTCTGAGAGACAAGTGTATATTTGCGGCGAATGTATTTTTCTCTGTACAGTGTATAGGCATTTCGACCGAGCCCTCCTCCCAATTGGTGGAAGATGGTTAAGCAACTGCAGTTATCAGATTTTTGTCAGCACACTGTATAGTGACCGCGTAGCACAACGGTCATACTTTTGGTAGGAGTGCAGAAGGCCCCAATACTTGAGAGGACACTCAATGTTGGATAAATAAGATCCCTGACTGCCCAGAATATGTTTTTCAGAAGTTAAGTTTTCTCTGACAAATCAGAGTAACGCTCATAATGAACCCTGAATTTCAGAGTTCCCTAGAAAACAGCTCTGGAAATCCGAGTAGTGAAAATCCAAAAAAAAGCCCTGCCTTAAGCGCACCCTGCAACATCGCGTACAGCAGCAGCCGTTGTTCGCCCGTTACTGCTAACGGGACTTCGCCGACTTCGCGCGCACTGTTTTACCAAACCTCGCAATGCTGGCCCGGCCGTGTCGGCCTACGCTTCGGGACTAGCCCGAGCCTCGCTTCCAGCGTAGCACTAGCTAGCTCGCACGCACCGCGTTACCGTTTGCATGTTTCGCGTATAAATGTTCGCTCATGCCTTCGCTCACATTTTGTACTCGTTTGACACCTTAGTGCAATTCTCGCTACTTCGATTCATTGCACCCGTAACAATGTTCCTTTTCCAAGTACCGTACTTAGTTTGATTCCAATCATTTCAGTATACAAGCTGCCCCCCCGCGTAAGCGTTCCCATGCTCCCGTACGCGTGTTGGGCACATGGAAAGGATGGATCCAGATGTGTACTTCCACCAACTCGTCACAGGAACAAGGATGGAGATAGGTATGTTATTGGTGGGCTTTGCATGAATTGCAAGTGATACAAGGAACAGAACTATATCAAATGACTACCTGAATGTTCATATTAAAGAGCAGAAACAAATGTCAGTAAAAAAGACAAGCCAAACAAGTCAATATTCTACGTGTATTTTTGCCTCAGTATCCTATTTTGAAATCACTGCTGAAGGGAAATGACCCGCATCAGCTTGCCCTTGCCCTGCTGCCCAGACTGGTTGGCAAACCGCCCGCTGATCTGCCCGTGGAGCTCATTGCGCTGCCGGGCCAGCGCTGCTCGCCGAGCCTGGAGGGTCTCAAATACAGCCTGCCGGTCGGGGAAGACATGTGGGTAATCAGTTCAGAGATCAGGAGAATCATTTGAGCATGATTCAGAGCTAATCAGTTTGAACGAGAGGGTGAGTGGGAGAGTGGGTAGGCACAAAGTATCAATGTGTTGGATATACAAGACATAAGAACCTGCACCTTCCTCCTCAACAGTCCCCACACCCATTCACTCCACCTTCCCTCCCCTTTCCTCACCCCTCACCCGTCGGGCCTTCGTCACCTGCATGCATGCACTCCATGAACTCATGGCTCCAGCGGGACAAGTCAAGCATCTCCCGTCACCCTTGGCCTTGCATCTCACACACCCATTCGCTCACATCACCACTCTTCCTCCCCCCCCCCTCACCTGCATTCTCTCCGCAACTCGCGCTCCAGGGGGTCAAACACCTCTGCCACCTTGGTCTCGGCTCTCACACACCCATTCACTCACATCACCACCAACCAAACCTGTTCCCTCCTTGCTGCACTGCACCCCTCTCCTCACCTGCATCCGCTCCTTGAACTTGCACTCCAGGGGGTCAAACACCTCCGCCACCTTGGCCTCAGCCATCGCACACCCACTCATCCACTCTTTTCCCCCTTCTTCCGCACCCTTCGTGCCACTCTCACCTGCATCCGCTCCTTGAACTCGCGCTCCAGGGGGTCAAGCACCTCGGCCACCTTGGCCTCGGCTGAGAAGGCCTGCGGCAGCAGCTCCGCAAAGCGCCTCAGCGTGCCCGCCTCCTCCTGGCATTGGAAAGAGGAGTTGACGAGAGCAAGTGCAGAGAACAAGAGGGGAAGGGCAGGGGGGGCAAAAGGGTCACAAGTGGTGAGAAGCAACCTCGAAGAAACTCTATCATCGCTCATTCACCTAATGAACTCATTCATTCTCAGACTGACATTTCAGCAACTCGCCTCGGGTGAAGGGAAGACAGAGCGGGCAAGTAGAGAGCACCTGCAACCCCCCTTGAGACTCTCACCTTGACCTTGACTGCGAGCTGCTGCATCATTTCGGGTGTGGGCTCGCTCTCAAAGTCGGTCACTGCCAGCAGAATCTGCAACCGCCGCTATCCCGGGTTAAAGGACGACAGAGAGGGCGCACAGAGGACAGAGAGGGCAGGGAAGACGGTACAAACAGAAACAAGGTTAGACAAGACGGTCAGGCGTGTGTACGATGCAGCAGAAAGCTTATAGCGAGAGTACGATGTGCTGCAGCAGGGAAACCACAAGGCAGCAAGCAAAGCAGCAAGCGGCGGCAGCAGCAGCACCTTTTGGATGGAGGTGGCGGCGGCAGAGACAATCTCATGCGCGTCTCCCAGCACAGTCTGCAGCGCGTCCTTGGCTGCCGACGCTATCTGCTTCACATGCGATGCCTGTGCGTTCATGGATGGGGATGGAGAGGCAGATACAAGCAGACGTAAGGGGCACAAGGAGGGAGGGAGGAGGGAGGGCAGAAAGATGAAAAAACGGAGGAGGTAGACATGAGATGTTAGAACCCGCAGAAGACATCCAGCCACGAGCTGATGAAATCTCGAACGGCAGCTTTTGCATTCAGTTTTGTTCCCCTGCACGTGTGTGCACCAAGGCACAGCACTGCACAGCACAGCACAGAACTGCACAGCACAGCACTGCACTGCACTGCACAGCACAGCACAGCACTGCACAGCACAGCACAGCACAGCACAGCACAGCACAGCACAGCACAGCACAGCACAGCACAGCACAGCACTGCACAGCACAGCACAGCACAGCACAGCACAGCACAGCACAGCACAGCACAGCACAGCACAGCACGCACCTGGGCAGCATGGCAGCCGCGGTAGAACCCCATCTCCTCCTGCAGCCCCGACATCTCCGCCCGCCACAGCGCCTCCACCTTGCGGCACCTCCCCACCACCTCCGCCACCCGCGCCTGCACCTCCCCCTCCCCTCCTCCCCCCATCCCTCCCCCCTCTCCCACGATCCCAGCAAGGCCTGCTGTCAGCAGCTGTTCCACAGAAGGGAGGTCTGCCACACTCACTCCCTCCCTCCTCCTCCTCTCCCTCTCCCACTCCAGCCTCTGCTGCACCTCCATCATCTCTCCCTCTCCCCCTCCTCCTCCTCCTCCCTCCTCCGCCCTGGCTGCTGCTGCTGCCAGCATCAGGCTCTCCCCGGTCCCCACGCCGAATAGCTGCGCGCCAGCTGGCACGAGCGCCGCCAGCTCGGAGAGCGCGCGCGTCGTGTCGTACACGTCAGCGATGGCGACACGGATCTCCTGCAGCACTGCGCTGGACGTCTGCGGGCGGCAGAGAGCGGGAGGAGAAGCGGCAGAGGGTGAGAATTCAATGGGGAAGGGACAACGTAGGGAAGAGAGTTGAGGGACAAGGGAGAAGGGACAGGTGCAGCAGACAGGAGAGATGGGCAGCAGACAGAGAGGGTAGAGAGAGGGAGGAGGGGAAGCAGAGAGAAGAGTGCCAGGGAGAGTGTGGGGGAGGTCGAGTTCAGCAAGCAAAAGGGCGTAGAGTGGATACACTGCGCATGGTTGGTTGCAAAAATAAAACATTTCAGACAATCCTTCCTTGGTGTAGAATGGTTACACTGCGTAGAAATTTTGAAGGTATCCATTCATCGCACCTCGGCGGGCAAGCTGGGGAAGACGACATTATCGAGGAGCGACGAGAGCGCGAGCAGGCGCGGGTGCAGGTCCGCCAGCCGCCCCTCCAACTCGTGCACGCGCGCGTACTCCAGCAGCGGCGCGGACCCTGGGGGAGGAAGCGAGGGGAAAGCGTTGACAAATGGTGGAACTGGAAACATGAGGGGAGGAAGCGAGAGGGAGCCAGATGGAGGGGAGAGAGAAACGGGTAGGGGAAACGGGGTGGGTGTGTGGGGAGGGCGGCGCGCGCACCCTCGATGGAGCGGCAGAGGTTCGCCGCGATTCCCGCGACGGGGTCGCCGTCCTCATTGGTCGCCATGAAGCGATTCCCCGCGCACGGCAGCTCCGGCGCGCCCATCGCCTTCATGCTTGTCTTCTCCGCTCCGCCGGCTCCTCCCCCTGCTTCCGCGTCCTCCGCCTTGCCCGCGCCTTCCTCCGCGGGCAGTTCGCCGATCTTTCCGCCCGGCGCGGGCAGCAGCATCAGAACCTTTTCGCGCGCTTCTTTGCTCCACATCGCGAGCTCCTCGAGCTTTTCCTTTGCGATCGCCACCTGTCCCGACGCCGCCAGCAGGCTGCCAAGTGTCGGCGCGGGAGTGGCTGCCGCGGCCGACGCGGCGAACGGGCTCCCCGCGGGAGTGCTCCCCGCGCGCGGCGTGCCCATAGGTGTGGAGACAGCAGAAGATGTTACTATAGAGGGGTCTAGCACCAGCGGCCCGTCTTTCGTGCTCGCGCTGCGGCTTCCCGCAGAGGTCAAATCCATGCCGCCGTCTCCGTCATTCGCGGCGCCAGATGCGGCGGTCTTTTTTTCCGCAGTTTTATTGTTCGCGCCGTTCCGCTTCCCCGGGCCGACTCCCCACCCGCGCGCATTGAAGCTTCCGCCACCAGTCTTTCCCTTCCCAGCGCTGCCCGCCGCGCCCACCGTCGCACCACCGCGCCGTGCGCCCACCGTGGGCGACGCGCTCCCCTTTCCGGCGGAGGACGTTGCGCGCGGGGTCGTGGCACGTGGCGAGCCGCTAGCGAACGACGAGGTGCCGCGGCTGGTGGGAGTGCTGGGGCGGGCGGCGGAGGCGAGGGCGGCGGAGCCGCGTCCCCCGAACGAGTTCCGCCGCGTCAGCGGCTGCTGTGCCGCGCCGACCTTGCTCACCCCCTTCGCCACCGCCACCGCGGCTGCGCTTGCGCTCTCCTTCTCCTCCTGCGCCGCGGCGTGCTGCGCGTCGTCCAATAAGATAGCGGCAGCTGGCAGCAGTGTCTGGTCCAGAGTCCCCGCGTGCGAGTTCCCCATCTCCGTCCCGCCCGCGCCCTCCGCGGCTTCCGCTTCCGCCTGCTCGCCTTCCGCCTCGTCCTCCCCCGCGCGCACGTGCAGCGCGCCGACGGTGCGGTGAAGATGGTCCATTGCGCTCAGCAGCTCGTTGCGGATCGCCTTGGCGGTGAGCGACGCGGACTCGGAGGCTAGTAGCTGTGGAGGGGAGGGGGAGGGGGTACGCGGGGGTAAGGGGGAGGGGAAGCGCAGGGAAAAGGGGGGTGAACATTCTACGGCGCTCAGCAGCTCGTTGCGAATGGCCTTCGCCGTGAGCGACGCAGACTCGGAGGCAAGCAGCTGTTGGGGGGAAGGGGGAAGGCGGAAAAAAGGTGGAGGCGGATAAATTGGGCTAGGCGGAAATAGGATGGAGGGGGGGAACTTGTGTTCATGGCGCTCAGCAGGCTGGTTGCGGAGGGGAACGATGGGGACGGACGGGGAGACACGTGGCGTGGGTTGCGAGAACCAGCGACGTTGCCTCGACGGAAATGCAGCTGTTAAAATGACCGACATCACCTCTCAAAAAGGCAGAGCTCTAGAAGCGGCATTACCGATGCGTAAAGGCGGTATTAGCAATACACGCAATATATGGCTGACTTGAGCATGAGCTCACCTGGTGCTCTAGCTGCAGGTTTGACGACTTGAGCATTCGCACGCGATGGCGCGCCAAGTCGTCGCTGTCGTCCGCCTCCTGCGACACGTGCGACACGTGCGACGGGGATCACGGAAGGAAAAGGAGGGGACGGGATAAGTGACGGCGCGTCAAGTCGTGGCGGTAAGGAGGAAAGGGACGGAGAAGAGTTACGGGGAACCAAGCGTGGAGGACGTATAGGCGAGAGAATGGAGGGGAAACGAGATACGTGAACGCGCGGTGAGGTGGATGAAAGATAGCGAGAATATTGAAACGGACGACAGGAGGGACGAGACGGGGGCTCCACAGGTAGGCCTTCACCGCACTCCCTTCTCTCTCGAACACGAATAAACGCGTAGGTTGGCGCGTTTAACCAGGAGTATTATTGCATTCCCCTTCTTGTAAGGACTCTCCTGCATGCACTTGCACTCAGGACTCCCTCTATGCTCCCACTACGCCGCTTCTCTTTCTCAACCCCCGTTACCTTGCGCTTCTACTCTTCCCCACGTCCTCCCCTATGTCCCCACCCATACCCCCCTCCCCCCCCCCCCCCTCCCCCCGACCTCCTTTTCGCGCACCTCTGCGTGAACGGCTTCCAGCATCGCGATCCTCTCCCGCAGCCGTCGATTCTCCTCCTGCAGCGCCTTCGTCTGCACGAACGCGCCGTTGGATGGACAGACAAGGAGTCAGCGCGTAAAACGGGGACGATCGCACGACATGCCATGTCGGAATGGAATGAGCATCGCGTTGGCGACCAGAAGCATCGGAAGACAAGACTCGCTTTTCGAGTCGACTCGGGAATTGGCGAACGAACAGAGAGCTAGTACGAAACACACGAGCGGAAAGAGGGCAGTCGGCGGGTCACAGATGCAGCAACGAAGACAGATATCGGAGTCCGAAAAAGTACGGGAGAATGCGTGATAAGTACGGGAGAATGCGTGATAAGAGAATGCAGAGCGCAAGTACAAGAGAAATAAATGGAGTCAATGGACATTATGAAGACAAAATGCAATGCATGCTCACACGCAGCCCGCGTTACCTCTGAACCGTACGATCCCATGAAGGGCTGCAGCACGATGGGCATCGACGGCTGCTCGGATTGCTTGGAGAACTCATCATCGGACTGCCAGCAGAGGCCGAGGGAGGGAGAGCGGCACAGGCACGGGAGAACAGTCGGTGATTGAGATTGTGACGGGCAGAACGAGACAGAATGAGGTATGGCAGAAGGAGAATGCGTTGGCATCCACCGTCGACGTTTAAAGAGCTGCTTTGCACTGTCTCCGTCGCTTAGTATAGAGACGTCTCAAATCTGTTGCTATCTGCGTCATTTATCTCCGTAAAATGAGAAGTTTCCAAAATAAAACTTCTCTGTGGACCTAGCAGCACCATTCCTACTTTCGGCCCTCCTATATCTCAGTTTAGCTAGGTTGCGGTCTAGACTCGGCTGCGATTAAAGCCACCTGAAGGGGCGCCACGGAGGACTTGGACTTGGCCAGCGACCCGCCCTTTGCGCCCAGCGTCCTCCCGACGCGCGCCGCTGCGCGCCCGAGCGTCGATGCCACAGACGACCCCTTGCCCTTCTTCACGCCTCCGCCCGTGGATTGCGATCGGCGCGTCTTCCCCCCGGCGGATTTTTCGTCCTCGCCGGCTTTCGCGACGGTGAGCGGGTTACTCGGGTGCGTGGCGCCGAGGTGCGAGTACCGCCGGATGATGTTGCTGTAATCGGACGGCTTGAAATCCTCCGCCGCGTTGAGCATGGCGTTTGCGTGGATGGCGTCGTGAAATTCTTCCTCGTCGGCCGGCATAGGATGGCTTCCCGCCATATCTCCTGGCGTAGTACTACTTCTCGAGAAACGAAGCTGAGCTGTATACTTCGGCGTTTTCTTTCTGGTTTAGCTCTCTTAATAGGGAATGTGATATCAAGAAATGTTATGTATGGCCCTAATCGCAACCGCCAGAACCAGTGATCTAAGTCTTCAGATATCTAAGGCGGTTCTAGATTCTTGACTTTGCAGCGGGTTCAAGACTCGGAAGTCACGGATTGCAAGGATAGCTCAACCCTCGTTGATCTCGTGCAAAGGGGGATGATTGCAAAGCGAAGAACAACCTTCGGAAAGTCAATGGGCGAATGTGGCGCAAAGCCAACGGATCTTTGCCAAAGACGTAGTGGTTCTATGGGAAGGTTGTCCTCATTCGGTTCATACTGAATGGGAAGAGTGTTGACGGAAGCTCAATGAAATCCGTTACGTTCGGTTTCGAGAGTTATTAGTACGGTGCTACTATGCAAGACAGCTCTGAGTCTGTAGTTCTCCACATGCACGATCTCTCACTACAGGCAATCCTAAAATCCAGTGCACGTTTGCCCAGCCCTGGCGGCTTGTCAGTGGAAAATTCGGAATGCGCGCCGCGGCGTCCGTTGCTTCAGTTCGGACGTGTCGCTCGACCGAAGGTTGGCGCGCGGCGGGACTGGTTTTGTCAGCCGAACCGCACGATGTCCTAACAATCAGGCCAGCCGCAATGTACGGGACTTTTCAAGGGTGCTTTTGGTGTTAGAGCAGCATTCCCATTTGGGTTGGATTGGTCAAACCACGGGCACCATGAAATCCTCATTACAAGCATACGCGTTACCGGAACCGTTCACAGTTTTGAGGCAGCATACACTAGACGAGAGATGCCATACATAATGTAATGCCAGTATAGATGCTACATCATGTTACACCGCATTCTGAAAGCCACGGGTCATCAAAATTGACGTACTTAGTCCAGAGGCTACGATAGTTCGGCAATGCAATCTTCAGCCATGGCTTCTGGTTACCATTCCAGTGTATAACTGCAGCCTTGGAAATAGCTGTCATGTCCAAGTGGGGATTGTAGCCAAGTCCCAGGACATGCCATGATGGATCAATGGCATGTGTGAGCCCATTGAGGGCCAGCAAGCCAGGTGGTAGCGTTCCTAGCTTCCATAATGAATGGTCAACGTTCTGCAAGCAAATGGCAAGCGGACCAAACCATAAGAAAGAAAGAAAGAAAGAAAGAAAGAAAATGGAAAAAGACGGAGAGACACTTGAGGGTATCCAGCAGACAAAAGGCACAAGTTCATGCTGTGGGGTTATATGCCATATGCCTTAACAGCTACCACCACATAGCTTTATGTGCCCTTTCTGTCACCTCCCCCTCACCTGCTCCTGCCACAGCTACCTTTGCTGGAAGAGCAGGATGAGGCAAAACCAATGACGCAACATGGGGAACAGTAACAAGACAAATTTCGACAGCTTCCCCAAGAGAACGTACTCTCACCTGCTCCTGCCAGTAGTGGTACGTGGCAGTCAAATTGGCCTGCCGCCATCCGCCCAGATCGAACAGGTTCATGCCATACGCCCATGCACACCCCTCAGTCATGCCATACGCCCATGCACACCCCTCAGTCATGCCATACGCCCATGCACACCCCTCAGTCATGCCATACGCCCATGCACACCCCTCAGTCATGCCATACGCCCATGCACACCCCTCAGTCATGCCATACGCCCATGCACACCCCTCATTCATGCCATACGCCCATGCACACCCCTCAGTCATGCCATACGCCCATGCACACCCCTCAGTCATGCCATACGCCCATGCTCACCCCTCAGTCATGCCATACTCATTACAGGCTACCTCAGCTTGAGGAACGAGACAAGTAAAAACGATGATGCAATGTGAACAACACACACAGAGCAGTGTTCGCCAGCCTACACATCCCCTCAGAGTGCGTTCTCTCACCTGCTCCTGCCAGTAGTGGTACGTGGCAGTCACATTGGCCTGCCGCCACCCGTCCAGGTCGAACACATTCATGCCATACGCCCACGCACACCCCTCAGGGTCAAAGCGCCCTCTCAGCCGCGTGTCTGAGAAGTTGAGGTAGCGGTGGAAGCGGTGAAAGGACCCCTTGCACGTCTCCACTGCTCCATTGACGGCACTGACGAGGGCGGTAAAGGGGACAACAAGACATTGATAAGGTCAGACAGTGGAGACGCGTGTCTGAGAAGTTGAGGTAGCGGTGGAAGCTGTGAAAGGACCCCTTGCACGTCTCCACTGCTCCATTGACGGCACTGATGGGAAGGGGAGGACGGGAGTTAGCAGGAGCCGAGAGTAGTGGTAAGGTCTGAAGCTTGAGCTGAGTGGCAGTGAAGCTGAGGTACCGGTGGAAGCAGTGGAATGATCCCTTGCACGTCTCCACTGCTCCGTTCACGGCGCTGATGGGAGGACGCACGGGGGGGGGGGGGGGGGGGGGAGAGAAATTCGCACAAGCCAAGAGCATTTGTAAGGATCAGACACTACACTAGAGTGTTGAGGCAGAGAGCCGTGTGAAGTTGAGGCAGCGGTGAAAGAGTTCCTTCCATGTCTCCACTGCATTGTGGGCAGCACTGATAGGAGGGGGGTAGGCAAGTTCGGACCAGACAGCGGTTACTGGCACCAAGGCGGATAGGGTTAGATACTTCATGACAGCAACCCTTAAAAATGAGCTTGCACATGCAAGAGACACACCCATCAACATGAGTACGTTCATGCTGAGAGAGACGAGGGCGGAGAGGTCTCGTTGCACAATGATGTCGTCGTCGAGGAAGAGGATGCGGTGCAGTGCGGTAAAGAGGAGCGAGAGAAGAGGGCAGAAACAGTGCAGTGCACGCAAGGCCGGAACCCACCCATTCATATTGAGGGAGAAGAGAGCAGAGAGGTCCTGCTGAACAATGACATCGTCGTCCAGGAAGAGGATGCGGTGCAGCGCGGTGAAGAGGAGAAGAGGAGAGAAGGGAGTGCCGCTGCGAGCACCAGAAGACAGTATCACGAGTGCCAACTGGAGAAACATATGGACAGCACCCACCCGTTCATATTGAGGGAGAAGAGAGCAGAGAGATCCTGCTGAACAATGACATCATCGTCCAGGAAGAGGATGCGGTGCAGCGCGGTGAAGAGGAGCGGCAGGTAGTGCAGAAGGAGTGCAGGCAAGGGCTAGACGCACGCACCCGTTCATGTGGAGGGAATAAAGAGCAGAGAGGTCGCGCTGCACGATGACGTCGTCGTCGAGGAAGAGGATGCGGTGCAGCGCGGGGAAGAGGAGCGGCAGGTAGAAGCGCAGGTGGTTCAGCAGCGACATGTACTTGGGGTTGCGGAACTTGATCGGGTCGCTGCTGCCCTCGCCCTGTTGGAGTTGGGAGGGTGTGTGTGGGAAAGACGGGCTTTGCTTGAGTGGGTGGGTGCGTATGGGTGGTTAGGGGCGCAGGTGGTTGAGCAGTGACATGTACTTGGGGTTGCGGAACTTGATGAGGTCGCTGGCCTCGCCCTGTGTGTGCGTGGGGGGGTTGTGTGGGGAAGAGGGGACATGAGAGAAGGGGAGGCAAGCGCAGGTGGTTCAATAGGGAGGTGAGTGTGTGTGTGTGAGGGAGAGGGGTTGGGCTGTGAGTGTGTGTGAAAATGTGCACACATATGCGTGGGGGAGATTGAGCTACAGTTATTTGGGTGATAGAGCCTTCTTCAACATGGACCATTGATAGGCCTATGGTCCATGATGAAGAAGGGTGATGGTGGCAGCGGTGCTTACCATCTTAAAACCCCCATCACCCCCTGTGACCACCCCGCACCCCCCTTCAACTACTTGACTCACAACAGGGGCTGCATAGAAAAAGAAGCTCATCCTCACCACTCATAACCACAGCCCACTCCCATCCCCTCCCCACTCCCCACTCCGTCTCTCCTCTTCCGACTTCACCCAGGAGACTCACGGCAGCAGCAGCGGAGAATTAGAAGCTCTTGGCACTGGCATCCTGCATCTGCCGTAGCACCCTCAAATCTCTCGCACCTAACACACCCCCCCTCCTCCTATCCCCAAGCCCTCCCCCTTGACTGCCCTCTTCCCCTGCACTCACAGCAGCAGCAGCGGAGAAATAGAAGCTCTTGGCGTTGATATCCTGCATCTGCCACAGCACCTCCAGCGCCCACATCCCCTCCCACGCCCACAACACAGCTCACTTCTCTCCACCTTACCCTCCCCCTCCTCCCCACTTCCCCCCCTCCCACCCAGCTCTCCCCTTGCACTCACAGCAGCAGCAGCGGAGAAGTAGAAGCTCTTGGCAGCAGCGTCCTGCATCTGTCGCAGCACGGGCGCAAAGGACGCGTTCAGCCACCCGCTCTCGCCCTCCACCCGCCGCACCTCTAGTGATGCCAAGCCGGGTGGGTGGCGGGAGAACCACACCTGGAAGGGGGGTGGGAAGGAAAGGGTGTTGTTACATTATAATTTCAAGAACACCGGGCAAGCCCTCCTGATGGAGAAGGGCGTCGAGACACTCACACCAACCAACAGCACATCCTCAACTCGAGCGCGCACACCCCCCTGAAAGGAAGGGTCACCAGGAAGGCAGGAAAGAAGGTGGCGTCTCGTTGGTGACGGCGTGACCAGGCGAGAGGGGTGACGTATCAAAACAAGTCAACCTAAACTAAGCACCACCCATGAGCGAGCGCACACCCTGATGATGTTCTCTTCTTACCACGAAGGCAGGGAATGAGGCGGCGTCGGTGACGACGTGGAAGCACAGGCGGAAGGGGATGTAAGAAGAGAGAACAGTGGAGTTGAGAGCAGCAGACACGCCCAGGCCAGCATGCTGGAGCTAAACCAGCAACAGAGCACGCCACTCGCACTAACACACCGAACAACCCATAAGCCAATATCCCCGGTGTAGCAGAAGCAGTCTCACCACGTAGGAAGGAAATGAGGTGGTGGCGCTGGTGACGATGTGGAAGATCAGCCGTGAGGGGTCGTGGGAGGAGAGGAGAGCACAGTGGAGTTAAGGAGCCAAGACAGCGGGAGTTGAATCAGCACCAGAGCATGTCACTCGCGTTGACGCACCACACCACCCACAAACGCATATCCCCAGCGTAGCAGAGGCAGACTCACCACGAAGGCAGGGAAGGTGGTGGCGTCGGTGACGATGTGGAAGACGAGCCGTGAGGGGTTGTGGGAGGAGAGCACAGTGGAGTTGAGCGCAGCAGACACGGCCAGCACGTTGTCACTGAAGATGCACAAATGCTGCAACGAGGCATCCACCAGGCGAGAGTTGTTGGGCGTGCCCGGGGGCTGGGAGAAGAAAGGGGAGAGAGGGCGGTGGGGTGTTGATTTGGTATCCTGACTGAGGGCAGCGGACACGGCCAGCACGTTGTCACTGAAAATGCACGCGTGCTGCAACGAGGCGTCCACCAGACGGGAGCTGTTGGGCGTGCCTGGGGGCTGGGAGAAGGGAGCGAGGGCTGGTTGAGGATTTGATAACCTGAGGGCAGCAGACACGGCCAGCACGTTGTCACTGAAGACACACACGTGCTGCAGCGAGGTGTCCACCAGGCGGGCGCTGCTAGGTGCGGCACGGCTAGGTGTGGCACTGCTAGGTGCGGTACTGCTAGGTGCGGTACTGCTAGGTGTGGCACTGCTAGATGCGGTACTGCTAGGTGTGGCACTGCTAGGTGCGGTACTGCTAGGTGCGGTACTGCTAGGTATGGCACTGCTAGGTGCGGTACTGCTAGGTGCGGTACTGCTAGGTGCGGTACTGCTAGTTGTAGCGCCGCTAGGTGCAGCAGTCCCAGATACAGCACCTATTAAGAGCAAAAAAAGAAATAATGGTTTGTTCAGCTCCAAGGTGCAGGGCGGTAAGTGCAACCCTCCGTGTAACCCACCAGGCCGTGGTGTATTTGAAAGGGGTGAGTGTCCGCCTCCATCCCTCCATGTGCAGTGGAGGCGTGCTGCAGAGCCCACTCCCTGGCCAGCCGCATGTACAGGCACGTCATGGGCTTGGGCATCGACTCTGATACCACCTGGAGGGGGGACGGAGGGGTGCAGTGCGGTTAAGAGCAGTGAGTTTACACATGGTGCCTGTAAGATAGGCAGAAAACTAGGCAGGTCACAGGAGCAGAGCCGTGGACACTACTCAAGAATCGATCCCAACCAGGAGGTAACCAGAGCGCACCTGAGAGGCGAGAGTGGCCTGAGCGGATGCCTTAGAGGCCTTCTCTTCTGCCTTTGCCACTTTCTCCTTCAGCGCTGCCATTGCCGCCGCTCTGAACAGTGTGACAGCGCGTGGAGGACATAAGGATGTTGAGTGTTGAGACGTCTTGAAATAGGAAAGTACACTCTTGCACTTTAAGACATTGCTAAAAAGGCAATTTCAATTTTAAGTTAAAAAACAGGGAATCTCATTCACTACCCCACTCACATGCCATACCACTGCACACACATGCCACACTACCGCCCCATTCACATGCCACACTCATGTCATACCGCCCCATTCACATGCCACACTCAAAACTCATACCGCCCCACTCACATCCCACACGTGTCACACTCACATGTCACACTCACATGTCACACTCACATATCATACTCACACGTCACACTCACATGTTACACTCACATGTCACACTCACATGTCACACTCACATGTCACACTCACATGTCACACTCACACGTCACACTCACATGTCACACTCACATGTCACACTCACATGTCACACTCACATGTCACACTCACATGTCACACTCACATGTCACACTCACATGTCACACTCACACGTCACACTCACACGTCACACTCACATGTCACACTCACATATCACACCCACAGCCACCGCCCCACTCACATGTCATAGTGCATCTCCTTGGCCTGAAGAATGAGAGCGCTCATGTTTGCTATGTGCGCCCGCGCCTCCTGCTTGTACACTGCTTGGCTGGTGGCAAGAGCCGGAGGACGGTAAGAGAGGGAGATGCGTATCATGAGTCAGCTCTATGCTCCATTGAGAGCATAGGGCTCACTGAAGCACTATGCCTTGTGGCATGCGCTTGCATCTTTTGAACCGCTCGACTGGGATAGCGGGAAGAGGATGGAGGTCGAGGAGGATGAGGTGGTGGGCACGTAGAGAGGAGCAGGGTAGGGTTGGGACTGAGGCAGGAATAACGATAGTAGGGACGAGAGCAGTGATAAAGACGAGTGAGCCAAGATTGCAGCACCTGGGGATAGCGATGGAGCGAGCAAGGAATGCCTCTGCGGCTCGCACGCCTCTACTCCCTCTCCCCCGCATCTTGCGCGACTTTTGAGACGTCTCAAAAGCCAACCAACAACGCACCTGGGGATAGCAATGGAGCGAGCAAGGAACGCCTCTGCGGCGCGCACGCCCCTCTCCATCTCATCGCCGAACTCCCTCTCCCCCGCATCCCGCGCGCGTGTCAGATACGCCTTCCCCAGGCTGATCTGGTCGCTGAGCTGGCGCACCGCGGAGTCGGGATCCAGCAGCTGCTGCCACGTCGGATCGGCGCGGAGAGTGGCGAGGGCCACGCGGATGGAGGGCTGGCAGAAGGGAAAGGGGAAGGGGGAAAGGTGGACGGGTAGAGGGTGTGGAGGGAAGGGGAAAGGGGAAGCGGAAGCGCAGGAATGGGGCGTTGGGAGCAGCAGAGGAAGACGGATTGGATGCAGGATTGCGGGTGTTGAACGATTGAATCGGACGGACAGGAGGGAGACGGATCGTAGCAACGGTACCTGTGAGCCGTTGTTTGCGACGCTGCTAGCTTTCTGCGCGGATTGAGGGGCCACGGGCGAAGGAGTAGCCTGCGATTCGATCCGGCGGGACGGAGAAGGGAGACGTAAACGAATTCTGTCAACTCTGTCAAGAGGGGTTACGCTTGAGTGAATTGACTCCTTCGCACGCTAGAGTCTCCTAGGTAAAACGTACTAGTATCTCAAGAAGCGTTTGTGCCAAATACGTGGTGCTATTCCTCGTCCATTCCAACTCGGCTTAATCCGAATTCGCTCTACAAGCAATGACGATCGCTCATTGGATTATCTTAGAAAACTCCCTGACAACGATTCTGTCGTATAATATCGCCCATTACCTGCTTGCCACGTGGCAGGAGCGAATCTACTGACGGCAGGTGGAGCGAGACGAAGAGCAGCATAACGACGAGCACGCACGCGACCACCAGCAGAACCATGCATCGCTGCCGCCGATGGCGGAGCAACGCGCGGCGCGAATGGCGGGGAGGCGAGTGCGGAAGCGCGAAGCCACCTGTGGTCTTCGGTAGATGCATGACCGTCATGATCGACAGAACTGTTAAGACCTTAGTTACATGCCTTTTGAGACGTCTCAAAGGTCACCTGCGGCTTTCCGTAGGTGCATGGCCGTGAATGCGGACAAAAACTGCTAGTGCCTAAATTAGGGCTCTCAAAACATGCCGGCGTTGCTGGATCAGAACCGTATTGGACCTGATGCCACCATTTCATTCAATGGTTCAGATCAGATTATACAGTTCACTTGTTTCTCCTAAAACAACGTCCCACTGTTTCGCGCAGGCAACATTCCTTGACTCTGTATGGACGCGGCGTAGTCACATCAGCTCGGGACGCATGACGATCCGCGGCGATTCTAACGATTAGTGGTGCTTAGAGAACAGGAATGGATCGACAGACAGGAATCAAGGATGATCAGCGACTGGTCGTGGAAAAGTCGTGCCTGTCTGCTGCTGTTGACGTACAAGGGATTGAGGGAATACCATGGGGTCTAGAAACCTTCTTCTTCGGTTCAGAAGTATTAAAGAGTGGTGAAGATTCGAAAGAGGTTGCTCACACGAAGTTGAGAAATGCTGCAGCGAATGGGGGTTGAGCGAACAGTGTTCGTCGCCTTGGGATTTCCTGTCTGCATTTGCGCGGGAATCGTTACTGTGACGCGGCCCTACACATAACACTATCTCTTCAGTCAAATTGTACCATTTATCAGGCGAGGCGAGTCGGACTGTATTTCTCCAGAGTGCACTGCCATATTAGCAGATTTCACTTCGTAAGGAGAAACTTATTTCAGCACTAACGCGTACAATATCCTCCTACACAAGGTTGTGGCTTCGTCAAATTCAATCCAGTATCAACCTCCCTCCATTCCATTCTTCCTTCACCTTGCTGAAACCGACAATATCTTCGTCGCGTTCATCGTTCTGACATTCGCGCGGTCGCCATGGCGAGCGACATTTCATCGCCAGCATTTTCGCCGGACCCCGAAGTGAGGCTCTTCAAGCTGCAGCGAGGAGGCCTCACGGCGACCATCACCAACCTTGGCGCCACTGTCACGAGCCTTACCGTCCCCGATGCACGCGGTAAGCCTCTATGTGTTATTTTCAGGCGCCTCAAAATCTGTCACGAGCCTTACCGTTTCACATGCACGCGGCTCGCCATCCCTCTACGCCCCTTCCTCCCCCGCCTTACCTTTTGTTACAATTTTTTTTCAGGCATCTAACCTCCAATCCTTTACTACAATTCGCTTCCTTTCATCGGGAATCTCCCTCTGATCCCTGGTGGTTACTGCTGAAGCTATCGTCGACCACACTTCACTCTCTCTTGCCGTGTAGCGTCTTTCCTCTGCCTTTCCCTTTCCTCCACCGTTGACATTCCCTCATTCCTATTGGCGTGTACGTCTCTCATTCTCTATCCCACCCTCCATCAGGTCAGCTGCGTGACATAGTTCTTGGTTTTGACACCGCTCAGCCATACCAGGTACGAGTATTTTCCCCACTGTACATTCAACGGTAGCAGGACCGTACAATACAGGTGTCATATCAGTGGCGGATATGAAAAAGGTAGGGCATGCACACGTCTATTGAAGCTTTAGCTAGTGGTACGTTATGTTCTTGGTTTCCTAGTGTGTTGTGTTCGCCAGTGTCCGTTTTGCGTATCGCCCTGTCTTCAAACAAAACAAACAAAAAGAAAATGGGAAGAATCCTTCAACCAGCAATTTCTTTAATAGGTTAATTCATCTTCTTTTTCTCCTTTGCTACATTGACATGCTACGGTACGCCGTGGTGCAGGATGGCACATCCCCGTACTTCGGCTGTGTGGTGGGCCGAGTGGCCAATCGCATTGCAGGAGCTCAATTCAATCTGGACGGTCAGGTCCACCATCTGACGGCCAACGATAACCCTCGCCCCAACACTCTGCATGGTGGGGTGAGAGCGAAGAACGTCGTGTGTGTGAGCATGCATGTACACACTAGAGCTTGGGATGGATTTGTACTCATGATTTGCTATTTGCGGTCTGACAATGGTGAAAGACAAAAGAAACAAACACTTGGGTCTCACAGTGAATTCGTTGCGGTGTGCTTTGTGTTTCCAGCAACCTCAAGTAATGTTTCTGCTGACAGGTGGCAAGGTGGGATTCGACAAGCGAATTTGGCATGTGGTGGGCAAGGATGAATGCGACGAAATAGGATCCGCTGAATCATCGGCAGCATCAGCATCCGCATCAGCAGAGGAGGGAGGAGCACCAGGCAGCAGCACGGAGTTGAATCTGGCACTGACGAGTGGGGACGGGGAGGAGGGGTTTCCAGGGAGGGTGGAGGTGCGGGTGACGTACAGGCTGGTGGGCGATGGGGAGATGGTGGTGGTCATGGCGGCACATGCTGTTGACAGGGACACGCCCGTCAGCATGGCACATCACATGTGCGTGTGTGTGAGTGCATGGAAGGAACTGTTTTGCACTGGAAGGGTGGGTTGGATACTGGAGGGCGATGGGGAGATGGTTGTGGGGATGGTGGCCCATGCTGTCGACATGACATGACAGGGATACGCCTGTCAGCATGGCACATCACATGTGCGTGTGTGGGTGCATGTATGGCATTGATTGATAGTCACATGGTAGGGTGGCATGGTGATGGCCGTGGTGGCACATACTGTTGACAAGCGCACGCCTCGTATGGCGCATCACATGTGCGTGTATGGTTGCATCAATTCTGCCTGTACCGTGTTAGGCACAATTAATGCAACCATGTGTATGATTGGACCACATCACACGTGATGCGCCAAATGCTAGGGGTGAGCTGCAGTTTAGACAGTCAATGGATGGTTGTCACGGCGGCGTGTGCTGGCGATAAAGCTATCTTGTTGTATGGCACATCACGTACTAATCCGTTTCCATTGTTCTTGCTTCCATAGCTTGTCAACTTTAACCTCTCCGCCTCTCCATTCTCCATCCACATCGTCCTCCCCACCCATGACCCCTCCCATTCCGCCATCTCCCCATCCTCCCTCCCACACCCCCTTCCCTGCTCACACTTCTCTCCTTATGCTTCTAGGTACTGGAACCTGGGCGGCCATGCCAGCGGAACAGTGCACGACCACATTGTGCGAGTCAACGCCTCCCACTACACGCCAATCAATGCCAACCACATCCCCACGGGTGAAATCCTGCCGGTACGCCTTCTCTGGTACCATCACTCGTTGCTAGGTCAGGGTGTCACCCATTCATAATCCTCTGAAGAATGACTTTTGAGTCGACTCAAAAGTCACCTAGGTCCAGGGTGTCACCCATTCATAATCCTCTGAAGAATTCTCTGGGGGTGTTACTCTACACGCCACCAGTTTGTCTAGAAGATTTTTTTGGAAAATATTGAAGCACCTCTCAGATTTTGACATTTTTGGGAGCCTCTAAGAAGCGCTTTACCTCCCCACCTTCTGATGCATCTGCCGCTGCTTTTCTTCCCAACGCAATCGCTCCAACCACCATCACAGGTAGTGGACACCCCGTTTGACTTCCTCTCAAGGGAGTTCCCCATTGGCGCACGCATGGCTGACGTGGCAGGCGGGTACGATCACAACTACGTGCTACACAGCACACACACGTGGAGTGGAGAAGATGTGGCGGCTGGGGGGCCAGGAAGTGCAGGAACTCAAGGAACGGACGGAGTGGAAGCAGCATTGGGGGATGGGGCGACGAAAGAGGGTTGCGAAGTGGGGAGAGGAGCAGCAGATGAAGCCACAGGGGCGGTGGTCGCAGGGGAGAAATTGTTTTTGGCTGCCCGAGTGCGGCACCCGGAAACAGGCATCGTCATGACTCTGTCCACTAATGCCCCTGCCATGCAGTTCTACACAGGCAACTTCCTGGATGGTTCGTTCAAAGGTGGGGCGAACACTTTCCGCAGTGGATTATCACCCTGACTCCCTGATAGCATGCGCGTGTGACTATCAGAGCATCGTATGGCCTTCATGATTGTCTATCCAGGCGTTTCCTTTCTGACATAACATTGCATTGCATTGCATGGCTTGTCTTGCACTGGTGACAGGGAAGGGAGGCACAGCTTATCAGCAGCACGCAGGCTTCTGTCTTGAAACACAGGTTGGCTCTTTTCAAATGCTGTTTTTCTTTAAATAAAGCGTTCATCTCATCTCTATTCGCTTCCCGGAATCTTTTCCCTCGTCCTACGAGCATGACAATGCTGTATTTCAATCATCTTCTGCTTCCTGCACACACCCTTACCATTCTAAACGTCTCTCTACCACTCCTTACCATTGTGTCTCCTTCTTGCATTTCTTTCCAGGGCTTCCCGAATGCGGTACGTACGTTCATTGTTTCTGGACACGTCAGCAGTAACAGCCACTGCTGCCGCCACTGAATATGGACACGTTTGGTCTTCACGCGTCTCCTCTCCACGTCAGCCTTTGTTGTACAATTGTGTTTCACTGCACCCTCCCCTTCCTGGTCTCTTTGTTCCTGCATGGCCACTCAAATTGTAGACACACCCACACCCACTTCTAGATTGCAGTTACGAATGCCTGCATGCGCCACGTTATTTGTGGCGACTCAAAAGATGAACCATGTTCACTGCCCCTGTTGCAGGTCAATGAGCCCAAGTTCCCTTCCGTCATCCTAAGGAAAGGCCAGCGCACTGTTCACGTGATGCGAATACAGTGAGTCATCATCCCCTTTCCCACTCTCTATTTGGACATGCTTCTGCTGAACCTGCAACGCGCTGCTGTCGGCTTTGTTCTTCTGTGAGTCCACACGTTGTAGTTATTTCCTCCAAGGAATGCACACAGCTGTTTGGTGCAATGCAGCAGAGGCAGGTCGCGCATGCAGTGAGCGCAGGCTCGGCTGAGAGTGAGCACGAGGTTTGGCTTGAGAGTGATTGTGGTGAACCAGCCAACCAAAAACACGCGCAAGCACGTATGCGCACGCGAGTGCACGCACGCACGCACGCACGCACGCACACACACACACACACACACACACACACCCACACACACACACACACGCACACGCACATGCACACGCACACACACCATTGATCTGAACAACAGGGTTTGCATGAAGCAGATTCCAACGATCTCAAATTCGGTAGCATTGATAATAGCAGCCCGCAGGTCCATTTGGTCCATCGGTGACTTTTGAATCACCTCGTTACAATGGCACACGACACATAGCTGCAGCTCCACTTAGTCCATCAGTTCATTCTTCTGCTTATCATGTTCCTCTGATCTGCCAGGCACAGTTTGAAGCCTTAGTGAGTTGTGTGCTGCAATACCTGTCTAATCTCCACGCCTTTTACTCCTTACGGATGCGTATGCTGCAGGTTCAGTCATGAATAGTCAGCAATCGTGCATGCTGCAAGCACGACTCTATCCAGCACGAGTAGGACTGGAATTCGAATACTCGGGCACTGATGTTTGCATGTTTGGGTTAGATGATAGCACGGTAATCCAAATTTAACGATCTATGTATAGTATGCCACCCCCATCCCTAACATGGGTGAGACGACGTCCATTTGTCTGACATAATGTCTTCACATCACACTCCTCCGACACTGTTCTGGTAATGTTCAATCAATTTCATTACTTACTACGGTACTTCATTAGACAACTCCCAAGTGTATTTGCAAAATCAAGCTCGTATCACTGTGTAAGGAAGGAGGTTCTACGGTAGATGAATGTATCACACCAGCACCATCCGGCCGTAGCGAGCAACCGCGTCTGCAAGGATCCGTTTCTCCTCCACTCGGTACTCCACTGCTGCCTGCATGCGCCGCCGCGTTTTCCCCTCCTTCTCATGCCCACTCCCCTCACTACCTGCACTTCCTCTCCCCTCTCTCTGCTCATCATTCACCACGGCTCCCTTGAGCTGCTCCAGCTGCGCCTCATCGGCTTGCAGGGTGGTCGGGTAGTCGTTCAAAAGCTCCCTACAGCGATCCACCAGCTGCTTGGCTGTTGGGGCATTCAGAAGAATGGAGGGACAGACTAATTCTTGAGGCGCTGCAGTACTCGATTCCAGGAGCGCCTTGAAGGAGAAGAGGCATGGTGTGGGATGGTGTGGGAAGGTGCGGCATGGTGCGGCATGGTGTGGCACGGTGCGGCATGGTGTGGCATGATGTGGCATGGTGTGTGGCATGATGTGGCATGGTGTGGCATGGTATGAAAAGTGCAAGAAACGTAAAAACATGATAATATAGGGAGTAGTGCGTATGAAAACGGAAAACAGCACAAGGTAACAGGACACACATTTGCTATCGAACGTGTAGTGGCGAGTCTCGACTCAATTCACCTGCCACGGTAACACATGAGTTACGGAACATGCAAGGCAACACACCTGCGATGGAGCGTGTACGCGGGGAGACGTTGGCAGCAGCGAGAGAGCGAGAGGCGGTCCATTGGTGGTCGAGATGAGCGAGCTCCTCTGCTGATGATGCATGCAGCACGAGCAGACACTCCATCAGCCTTGTTGCTATGCCGCCTGAATGGGCATGATGGATGGAGAGTGGAGGGGTCAGAGAGAAAGTGAGAGAGAGAGGGGCAGGTGGGTGGTCGAGGTGAGCGAGCTGGTTTGCTGATGATGCATGCAGCACGAGCAGACACTCCATCAGCCTTGTTGCTATGCCGCCTGAATGGGCATGATGGATGGAGAGTGGAAGGGCAGAGAGAAAGTGAGAGAGAGAGGGGCAGGTGGGTGGTCGAGGTGAGCGAGCTGGTTTGCTGATGATGCATGCAGTACGAGCAGACACTCCATCAGCCTTGTTGCTATGCCGCCTGAATGGGCATGATGGATGGAGAGTGGAAAGGCAGAGAGAAAGTGAGAGAGAGAGGGGCAGGTGGGTGGTCGAGGTGAGCGAGCTGGTTTGCTGATGATGCATGCAGTACGAGCAGACACTCCATCAGCCTTGTTGCTATGCCGCCTGAATGGGCATGATGGATGGAGAGTGGAAAGGCAGAGAGAAAGTGAGAGAGAGAGGGGCAGGTGGGTGGTCGAGGTGAGCGAGCTGGTTTGCTGATGATGCATGCAGTACGAGCAGACACTCCATCAGCCTTGTTGCTATGCCGCCTGAATGGGCATGATGGATGGAGAGTGGAAGGGCAGAGAGAAATTGAGAGAGAGAGGGGCAGGTGGGTGGTGGTCGAGGCGAGCAAGCTGGTTTGCTGATGATGCATGCAGTACGAGCACACACTCCATCAGCCTCACTGCTAGGTCGCCCGAATGAGTGGACGGGGAGGCGGACCAGGTGGTTAGATGGGGAGTGGAAGAAGGACTGAAGAGTGAGCAAGCGAGAACGAGAGGAGGTGAGTGCAGGCGAGGAGCAGCGAGGGGCTTACCAGTGCAGGTGAGGAGAGGGGGGGACCATAGCAGTAAAGGCGAGCAGAGACCATAGCAGTAAAGGCGAGCAGAGACCATAGCAGTAAAGGCGAGCAGAGACCATAGCAGTGAAGGCGAGCAGAGACCATAGCAGTGAAGGCGAGCAGAGACCATAGCAGTAAAGGCGAGCAGAGACCATAGCAGTAAAGGCGAGCAGAGACGAGGGCCTCACCGGTGTAGGCGAGGAGAGGAGCGTCCTCTGGGGTCATCTGGGAGAGCAGAGACGAGGGCCTCACAGGTGCCGCTTGTGCTGCAGGCGCGGAGAGGCGAGGGGCTTTACTCGTAAATGCGAGGAGGGGGGCGGGGCTTACCAGTGTAGGCGAGGAGAGGAGCGTCCTCTGGGGTCATCTGTGAGAGCAGGTGCCGTTTGTGCTGCAGGCGCGTGACCCTCTCCTCCACATCATCCATCATTTGCTGCACCGTGGGGGGAGAGCATGGAAGGTGTGGAGACGAATTGAGTTGCCATATAAAATCAAGCTAGTTGTCATGTGAGAATTGTTAAGAAACACCGGTGGGAGAGCATGGGAGTTGTGGAGGTAGACTGCGTTTTAGACAGCAGAGTGGAATCTCGCAAGTGAAATGCTCAAGTTCGGGTGGAATAGGTCCGTGTTAGGCAAGAAGATACAGCTGATTCATCAAGCTCGAAGGCTCTTGGTTTAGTGCGCAAACGGATTTAGATCGAAGACGGTAAGGGAAGGATGGGATGAGAATTCAGCCGGGTCATCAACATTGAGTTGGCAGGTTGATTCAGATACAGGGCGATCCCAGCCAGTAGAGGTTGTTGGGATTTAGTAACTGAATTGCACGTTATTTTTCACACTCTTTTCCCTCATTCTCCACACATTACCTCCGAATGCGAGTAGATGGTGATTCGATTGGCGGGTTTGCTGCGGGGGAGGAAGCCGAAGGAGAGAAGGAAGGCGAGGGAGGTGAGGGGGCCGTAGGAGATGGTCACTTGGGCGCCGGGGCGCAGTGGGCGAGATGCGAGCAGCTCAAAGCGTGGAGGACCGGGGGCGGATGACGAGCCCTGGTTGGTGGGATGGGATGGGATGGGATGGGATGGGATGGGATGGGATGGGATGGGATGGGATGGGATGGGATGGGATGGATGGATGGAGGGGTTGGGTGGGATAGGAAGGCGAGGGAGGTGAGGGGGCCGTACGAGATGGTCACTTGGCGCCGGGACAGAGGGGGCGAGATGCGAGTAGCTCAAAGCGCGGAGGGGACGGTGTGGATGAGGTGGGGAGGTTGGGCAGGCGAGGAAGGTGACTGTTGAGAGCTTTGAAAAAGGGTTGTACGAGATCGTGGCTTGGGCGCCGGGGCGGAGAGGGCGTGATGCCAGCACCTCAAAACGCGGAGGAAGAAGAGCGGATGCAGGTCCCTGGTTGGTAAGATGGAAGGGAAGGGGGAATGGAAGGCGAGGGAGGTGAGGGGGTTGTACGAGATGGTAACTTGGGCGCCAGGGCGCAGAGCAGAGGGCGTGACGCCAGTAGCTCAAAACGCGGAGGGCAACGGGTGGATGCAGGGCGCTGGTTGGTGGTGTGGGGTGGAGGGGGTTGAGGGAAAGGACGGACGGGTTGGGATCGGGGTTGCTTGTGCTTGCCTTTTCTCTGCACCCATACGCCCACACAGACACGGACCAGACGGCCTCATCATCCGATTCTCTCCCGCACCACACCCTCCACCCAACCCAATGTACCCTCTCACCCACCTGCGTCCGCCCTCTCCTGATGCGCCACGTGGCAGAAGGTTGCACAGCAGCGTGTGATTCCGTGGCAGTGCTGCAGGCGTGGTTGGCCATGTCCACTAGCGGCACCAGCACCTGGGGATGCGGGGGGGGCAGATAGGGCATGAGCGAGACGGAATGTGAGACGGCTGCACAGTTGTGTGTGAGTGGGAGGCACTGGCAGGCGCTGCAGGCGCGGTTGGCCATGTGAACCAGAGGGACCAGCACCTGCCGCGGTTGAGAGGAGCACCCGGGATGAGGGGAGAGGAGAGCTCCGGGCAGGAAGCGCTTATGGAATGAGGCGCATAGGGCATGGATGGAGGAGCAAGGAGTTTGAGACAGAGTGTGAGACGGCTGCATGGCCGCGTGTGAATCCGCTGGTGGCGGCGTTGCGGGCGTGATTGGCCATGTCAACCAGAGGGACCAACACAGCACCTGAACGTGGGGAGAGGGGGGAGTGTACGAAGGACGAGACGGAAGGATGGGATGGGAAGGTGTTGCAGGGGGAGGAAAAGGAGGGCGGAGACAGCAGCAGAGTACAGAACCACGAGTACAGCAGCAGCAGAGTACAGAACCACGGGTGAGTTTCTGCGTCGGTGCCAAGAGTGGAAGTGAAGCAGGTGTGATTGGGCCTGTCTACTAGAGGGAGTAGAGAACTGAGAGTTTGTGGGAGAAGAATGGAAAATGACCACCTGGACAGACTTATTAATATGCACAAACAAACTGTCATGCCTACCCAACCAGCCTCACAAGAGGACAGAGGATGGCAAAGGAGGAACCAACCTGAAACGCGGACGGCAAGAGCTCCGCCGATCCACCTCCACCGCCACCTCCACCATCACCACCACCCCCTTCCCTGAGCAGCGACTCCGTAGTGGCTCCTCTAGATTCCACAGCACCAGCAGCACCGGCAGGGTCAGCGGCATTAGAGATGGAGAAGGACCGTGAGGTGACAACACGCAGAGCCCAGCGGGCTCTCTCTCTCCCTGCCCTCGGCACGGCTGCAGCAACTGCTGCTTCCATGGCTGCCATCTCTGCCGCGTATGCTCGCACCTCCGCTGCTGCTGGGCCCAACTGCAGGTGCTCTAACTCCTCCTCGCTCCAATCGGCCAGAGTCTGATGAGAGGCAGGGAGGGCGGTGGTTTGAGACATCTCAAAGGTATGCCCGCACCTTTCCTGCTGCTGAAGACGACTGCAGGCGCTCTAGGTCCTCGTCACTCCAATCAGCCAGAGTCTGAACTGAAGAGAGGCAGGGACGGATGTGACAGGAGAGATGGGAAAAAGGGGGAGGGGTGAGGGGGAAGTGGGGTGGGGGAAGGAAGAGACGGTATTTCGGACCATATACCACCCTCTCTCATGGTATGGTATGGTATGGTGTGCTCACTCAATATTGTGCCATTTCATACCATACCATGCCATACCCACCCACGTACCACGCCATACCATACCACACTGTACCATACCATACCACACCGCCCTTGGTATCAAACCAGAATATCACGTGCCTCGATCTCGCTCGGCAGCAACTCCTCCGCATACTGCCACCATATGCTGCCCGCCATCTGTTGAGACGTCTCGAAACTCGTCCCTTCCTCCTCCACCTGCGTCTGCTTTTCTCCACCAGCCTCCATCCCCACTTCTCCTCTCCCTTCCTCCCCCTCCCCCGCGCCCATCCCACCCTCCCCTGTCCCGCAAACCGCCTGCAGCAGTGCAATCGCCAGTTGCTGCACTGGAGTGCCGCTACCCCTTCCTCCTCCCCCTGCTGTTGACGTGGCGTGCAGCGGCACCCACAGCGTGGCGCGCAGAGGCACGGACAGCAGAGGCGTGCCGGGGGGAATGGGGGGACGCGCGGGCACAAACGGGGGAGGAGAATGCGTAGAATGGGGAGAGGTGAGGGTTGATGGGGATGCAGAAGGCGCGGAAGCGGGAACAGAGGGACCAGCGGCGGAAGAACCTGGGTGATCCGTTGCGGGTGAACAGACAAAGAGGCCTCGTTCCCCTTCCTCCTCCTCTTCTTCCTCCCACGTTCCCGTTCTTGACTCTACTTCCTCCCGCGGCTCGACTCCCAGGCGCACCAGAGGCTCTGCTGGTTCCACGCCGATGCGCCGCCTGAAGGAATATATTAGAGAGCGTAGCGATAGCGAGAGAGTCTCTGCTATGGGAATGATGTTGCGCCAGCAACTTGGTAGAGTTTTGGTAGCGTTTGCCTCTAAGGACTTTGTGAGAATTGAAGTAGCATTTGGGCCAAGTAGAATTGCAATATCAATTATCAAACACACAAGCAAACACAAACATATATAGGCAAGCAAGAGTTGCACAATTGTTGCGTGGCGCTGCGAGTAACCCAACCCACACGAAAGTGCTGTGCAGGTGGGTGAACGCGCCCCGCACATTTCCAACCCAACTCGGCACCGGAATGTCTCACCGTGCACGCTACTCCTGCCAACACAGCAAGTGAGCAGCGTGCCTCACAAGCAAGGCACCTACGACCCCCAAGACTCGTCATTCCTAGCACCGATTCCGCCGAGTTCGCTGCAGTAGCTCACAGTCACCCGTAGTCACTAATGACCGCCACCGAACTCGTGCGTCGGTGCCGAGTAGACTCAGTCGTTAGGCGCCGACCTGCCAAGTCAAAGGTCATCGAGGGCCCTTGCTGTCGTAGGGCCCTCTAACACTCCCCTGCCATACTACAGCAAGGCCCTTTATAATCACAGGGCATGCATACACACATACACACCAAAACAAAGGGATACACACAAACGAAACACGCTCAAAGTGTAAACACGCACCGCACCAGCCATGGATAGGCCATGGCACCATCCACATCATGGAGTGTCTAGGTCTCACTCCCCTCGCTCGAGAGCCGCACCTGCCCCACAGCCTCGAAGCAACGACTGAAGGCGGGGAAATGCAATGCCTTTGTGAGGTAGTCAGCAGGCTGCTCGCTCGTAGGGATGTACTGCAGCTGCAGCTTCCTGCGCTTGACCATGTGCTGCAGCCACATGTGACGACGCTCCATGTGCTTGAGGCTCCCCTTGAGCCCCATGCCACCTGCCACTGAAATGGCGGAGGAGTTGTCCACAAAGAGAGTCGTGGGCTCCTCACTCCTCAGCAGTTGAAACTCTGCCAGCAGGAAGCGCAGCCTGCGCGCCTCCTTCCCAGCCTCCACAGCAGCAACGTACTCAGACTCAGTGGAGGAAAGGGTGGCGCAACGAATCCGCTGGCTCGCCCATGAGACAGCAGCACCCCCGAGCACGAAGACATAGCCACCTGTGCTGGTCCTGTTCTGCTTGTCCCCTGCATCATCAGCATCGGCGTAGCCCACCAGCTCCAAGGACTCCGGCCCACCACCAAACTCCAGCGCCACATCCCTGCTCCCCACCAAGTACGTCAAGCACCGGTCCAACTCCTTCCAGTGCTGATCACTCCGCACAGTCTGGCCCGACCCCAGCTTGCTGCAGGCGAACGAGATGTCGGGACGGGTGGTACAGGCCGCGAATTGCAAGGATCCCACCTTCTGCCTGTACTCCTCCTCCTGGCGAGACTGCCATCCCACATCCTCGAAGGTCTGCACACTGAAAGGGTCAGAGGAAAGAGGGGTGCGAGGCACTCGCAGCGGCTGCTCCCCGTCAAAGAAGCGCCTATGGACCTTGTCCACATAGGCCCCCTGGTGCAGCCACAGCCTCCTCGTGGGCCTGTCCCGAATCAGCTGCAACCCCAGATATTTCTCCACAGGGCTAATCTCCCGCAGCTGAAAGGCACTCTGCAGCAGGTCACGCAGCTCCGCTAGCATGCTCTGACTGCGGCTGGCAGCAAGCAGGTCATCCACATACACCAGCAGCCAGCACATCTCCCCCTCAGCATCAGTCTTGAAGTACAGAGCCTCATCCACCTTGCTCTTCTTCCATCCAGCCCCAAGCAGCACCCCATCCAAGGCCTCATACCATAGCATCGGGCTCTGCTTGAGCCCATACAGACTCTTCACCAACTTACAGACACGAGGAGTCCCATCCTCGTAGTAGCTCGGCTGCTCCATGTAAAGGTCTCGGTCCAGCACGCCATGGAGGAACGCGTTCTTCACATCGAGCTGCATCAGGTCCAAATCAAGTGCAGCTGCAATCGCCAGAAGCACACGCGCCGTCACATAGCTTCCCACAGGGGCGTACGTCTCCTCATGGTCCACCCCTGCCACCTGCGTGAACCCCTTCACCACCAGCCTCGCCTTCTCACGCTCCACTATCCCATCAGGTCGGAACTTGGTGTTCAAAATCCAGCGGTTCTTCATCACATTCACCCCTGGCGGACGCGGAACCAACTCCCACGTCCCCTGCTCAATCAAGCTCCGCATCTCCTCATCCATCGCCTCCTTCACCTTGTCTCCCTTCCAGCAGCCCAAGGCCTTCTTCACTGTCATTTTCGCTATGTCCCACTGCCTCTCAGGATCAGCTGCCACGTCCGGGTCCAGGTTAGTCCACTCCTCGTCCTCCTCCTCGTCATCCAAGCCCGCTGGCTCAACCACTACAGCCCAAGCGTGTCGAACAGGCGGGACACCACGAGTGATGCGAGTGGAGCGACGCAGTGGTGCAGTGGTCGTCCCAGAAACCAACACACGACCACCATCTCTAATTCCCCACATCTCCTGCTCCCCTGTCTGCGGCTCCCCTGTCTGCTGCTCCCCAATCTGCTGCTCCCCTGTCTGCTGCTCCCCAATCTGCTGCTCCCCTGTCTGCTGCTCCCCTGTCTCCTGCCCCCCACTCTGCTGTACTCCATCCATACTGCTCTCGTCCTGCAGCTGCTCAGTCTCAAGGCGCTGCCCGTCGGCGCCTAACGACTGAGTCTACTCGGCACCGACGCACGAGTTCGGTGGCGGTCATTAGTGACTACGGGTGACTGTGAGCTACTGCAGCGAACTCGGCGGAATCGGTGCTAGGAATGACGAGTCTTGGGGGTCGTAGGTGCCTTGCTTGTGAGGCACGCTGCTCACTTGCTGTGTTGGCAGGAGTAGCGTGCACGGTGAGACATTCCGGTGCCGAGTTGGGTTGGAAATGTGCGGGGCGCGTTCACCCACCTGCACAGCACTTTCGTGTGGGTTGGGTTACTCGCAGCGCCACGCAACAATTGTGCAACTCTTGCTTGCCTATATATGTTTGTGTTTGCTTGTGTGTTTGATAATTGATATTGCAATTCTACTTGGCCCAAATGCTACTTCAATTCTCACAAAGTCCTTAGAGGCAAACGCTACCAAAACTCTACCAAGTTGCTGGCGCAACATCATTCCCATAGCAGAGACTCTCTCGCTATCGCTACGCTCTCTAATATATTCCTTCATGGTGCGGTGAGCGTGGAACGAACACGCATAGATTTCCGTCGTCGTTGATATTCGCGTTCGTATACTCGCCTTGGCGTGCGGCGTTAGTGAAGGGCGCTTATTAATCTAAGTTGAACCTCTCTTGATTTCCCTCCAGTTACGTTCTCGGACCCAAGGATAGGGCGTTTGGTAATTTATTACCACTCGTCTGAGGACCCTTGTGAGGTGACCCCGAGACGAGGGATTTAAGGAAGGGGCACTTTATTTTAATTTGTGGTACCTTATAGAGACGTCGTAGAGGATGAGTACAGAGGAGGCGAACGTGGAGGCCGGTAATTTGCGCGCCCTAGAGGAGGATCTCGTGGCTCGTCATTCTCGTGGTGAGATTAGTGATATCGAATACGAGCTAATGTTGGAGGGATTGCGCTCGCGTCGGCGTCGTGAGCACCCTTCGCCACGTGTAGAGAATGTTGAGCAAGTTGCGGGAGGTACTAGTGCGTGGGATATGGCTGTCGATGGCGGAAATAGCGATGACGAGGAGTTTGATGGGTTGATGTCGCGTGGGGTCCTGCGAGGACCAACTCGGTTTAGTACGGCTAGCGTTGGCGGTGTACAGGAGCGTGTTCATCGTGCAGCAGCGTCACGAGAGCATGCGAATGTAGGACGGCGGAGCGTTGCTGGAGGAGGAATTGCGGAAGAGTTCGATAGTGAGGCTATGCCGGGCGTTACCCCGATTGGATCGATGTCGAGGGACGAGGGAATAGCCCCCAACTATGGCTACTTCAGATTCACTCCAGACAAGATCGTTGTCACTAGGCCGTTAGAAGGACGTCACGACCTGTCGACGTGGACAGAATCAATCGAGCCGCAGCTTGAGATCGCTCAGCTAAAGCGATTCATAAATGGCACCACCCCCATTCCACCAGCGCGTGCGCTTGCGCATCTCTCTCAGTTCCGCGCGATGCAGTTGCTGACATTCACCACCATTTCCCGATGCTGCTCCCCAACCGTACAGATCGCCCTTAAGGCGTGTCGCATGAAGGTCGATGCCGGCTATCAGGCATGGCAGTTTATTATGCGCACGTACATGGCGAAGGACGATCTGTACATCGGTCAGTTAGAGCAGGCGCTCACTAACCTCGAGATGGGAGAGCACGAGTCCGCTACGTCCTATTGCAACCGTGCGCAGCAGATCCTAGTGAACCTGAGGATGGCCGGCGTAGATTACTCGCAGGCGTCGTACATCACTCACGTTGTGAAGGGGTTGCCGCAGCAGTACAACCTCTTACGCAGGATGCTGAAGTTGCCGCAGGTTCGCAAGGAGTTGGACGAGGACACCCTCGCTAGCTACATCATCGAGGAGGAGTGTACGCTGGCGGCAGAGGGACGAAAGGACCAATTTCTTCCCCAGGCTAACCAGGTCTTTACCAAGAAGGGTAAGCCCCAATTCCAGCAGACTTCATTCCCTTCCCCTCCCACTACGGCACAGCAGCAGCAGCCTAAGAATGGGGGTGGGCTTGGTGGGGGAGGGGAGAAGTGGAAAGGGGGTAAGGATGGCCAGCCGAAGGGGGGGAAAGGGGGCTTCAAGGGGAAGTGCTATGTGTGTGGACAAATAGGGCATGTTGCTAAGTACTGTCAGCAGCGGGCGGATAAGGAGGCAGACACCGGTGGAGAGGGTTCTGGAGGTAGCAGCGGAAAGGGGGGTGATGGCTCTAAGGGGAGCGGGCAGTCATCATGTGCGATGGCGAAGCCAGTTGTGGAGCAGACTCCTCTCGTTGTGCTAGAGCCTGAGGCCGGGGAGGGCTTACAGGCTGTTGCAGCTGCTGTGAAGGCGAACCCGAGCGTCGTGCTGCTTGATAGCGGATGCTCCCACCATCTCATGGGAGATCGTTCTGCCTTTGTGGAGATGAGCAGCGGCGGCAGCATTAAGCAGGTTACCGGCTTCAACGGCGCCCTTCAGGAGGTGCAGGGGCGAGGCACAGTCGCTCTTCTTGGGGAGGGGGGCAGGCGTGTCTTGGTGCCGGACGTGCTGTACGTACCAGGAGTGCAGGCGAGTCTTCTCTCTGCTGGGCAGCTGCGTGATAGTGGTGTGCAGCTGCTGGATGCCAGGGATGTGACTTTGCTGCGGGCACCAGATGGATCGCTCCTTGGTCGTGCGGAGTTCAAGGGGCGTGTTCTCTGCACGAACTTCCAGCCGTGTTCGACGCAGCAGCAGGAAGGCGAAACGGTGGCACTTCGTACCTTGGCGACGGGCGTACGGTCTAAGGGGGACCTGTGGCATGCGCGTATGGCACACGTTGGTATTGATGCCATCGAGCGCACAGCGGCTCACGGGTCAGTGAAGGGCTTGGATTTGGAGAAGGGGGGCAAGTCAGGCATACCTTGTGTCTCCTGTGTTGGGGGAAAGATCACTCGTCATACCTTTCCTTCTGTGGGAGAGGAGGAGGATGAGTTGCTCGGGGTGGTGCATGCTGACCTGTGTGGCCCTTTCCGTGAAGCAGCTAAGGACGGCAGCCGCTACTTCTTGGTGCTGAAGGATCGCAAGACGCGATATGTCTGGGCCTACCCTTTGGCCCAGAAGAGTGATGCGCTGGCGGCGTTCCAGATTTGGCTCCCGATGGCAGAGCGACAGTGCAAGACCACGGTGCAGGCGCTGCGCACTGATCGGGGTGGCGAGTTCCTGGGGCACGACTTCACGCTCTTCCTCGACGGTAAAGGCATCATCCATGACCTCACATGCTCGTACACGCCGGAGCAGAACGGGATGGCCGAGAGGGAGATGCGCAGCATTGTGGAGGCGGTGCGGACGATGTTGCTGCACATGGGTGTGCAGCATCACTGGTGGCACCTGGCGTTGGCTCAGGCCGTCTGGGTGCGCAACCGCGTGGAGCACGCCTCACTACCCTCTGGTGTGACGCCGTACGAGCTCGCCTTCCGACGCAAACCTGATGTCAGTATGGTGCGTGTTTGGGGCTGCATGCTGCAGTACATGGTACCACAGTCGCAGCGTGGGGGGAAGCTGGCGCCTAAGGCTCGCTGGGGGTTGCACTTGGGTGTGTCAGCTGCGAGCAAGGGCTGGACCGTGCTGGACTTGGAGTCCAACCGCCTCATCACCACTGTGGAAGCTGTGTTTTATGAGACCATGTCCCTAGCAGGATGGAAGGCTTGGCATCAGCAGGAGCATGGGGGGCGTTCGATGCCCTATGAGCCCCTTCCCTCACTCTTCCCGATCACTCTCGAGGAGGCGGAGGAGGAGGAGGAGGTGGTCGCACCTCCTGCTATGCCCTATGTCCCTACCTCGGTCCCCACCCCACCTCCGCCTTCAGTCTACCCTCGTGTGATTCCCCCTGCCCCGCCTTTTTCCTCCTCACCCCCCTTGGCTTCCCCTCCTCCTCCTGTTATTCCATCTCCCCTTCCACCCTCCATCCCGCCACATGTCCATGAACGATTGGTGCTGCTCACGTAGTGTTTTTCCCGCATTTCTTGGTGCGACATGATCTCTCGTTCCCGCCTGGCACTTAAGCGTCATTATCTCGTGCGATCTGTAGGTTGGTCGTTTAATGTCGCGATCATATTGGCATCCACATCCCGAGACTGATAATTGCGGACGAGCCGCGAAACGGGTGTGCCTTGATCCACTGCTTCCGTCGGCCGAGCCTTCTTTCGTGGGAAGATTGCGCAGATTGAACCCCGAAGTCCGGCATGTGACGGCGTTGCCGTTTCTCGTGCTTCGAAAGGCTTGGAGCGGGAATGTACTTACTAGCGCTATCCGGGGAAGGTTCGTACGGAGTTTCCTTGAATGGGAGATTCTAGGCTGCCTGAGTATACTTGTAAATTGGTCGGAACGGGGAGCGCGGGCCACCATGTGCGGTTTCAGAATGCGAAAATTCAAGTGTTCAGGTGGTTCTGATATAGCCCGGACCGCCGGATAATTCTTACAGGGACCATCGTAGATTGCGGGCTTCGGAAGGCTGACCAGCATTGTTCGGTTTCAAGGGCGCGTGCTGGTCAAAATCTTCAGATTCTCACAGCAATGAAGAGATTGTGGTGGTGAACAAGCATGGAGAAGTCCTTGGGATTGCCGTGTGGTTTGGATGAGGAGAATTTGGGAAATGAGCAGAGAGGGGAGACTGAACCCAACCAACCGAACAACAGCAGCAGAGGCCCCCCCAAAAAGCGTCGTGTTTGCGAGATTGTGGCTGTGCGAAAATGAAAGAGTTTCGTGACTAGCGGGAAAATTGCCCGATGATGGGGTCATAGGGCCAACGAAAAAGGGTTACCAATCGCGTTTGGAATGTGCAAATTCGACAAGCAGCAAAAATGGTACACCGCATATTTCGCTCATCCCCAGGTCCCACCCAAGGTTCCTAGACCAAAATTCTTGTGCACTCGATCGTGCGCTGTTCACTCCTATGGTGAGTGCTGCGGGTTCTCGCTCCTGACTTTCTCCTGACTACTACACCGTGATCGTTTCACAATATACGTCGAGACCCGCAGCACGATTGGCCCAAGGAAACCACGGAAGTCTGTCCGTCCGTGTACCATGCGTCGAGCCGCAGTTCAAGCCGTTCACTTAGGCCGGCTCGCGGCCTCTGTCGCTCCTGCCGGATCCACACCATCCGGCGCGATTCCCGCTTGCCTGTCCACGTCAGCCGCTAGCAGATCGCCATGGATCGCGCCATCCCCGATGGTCAATCAAAGTGTGCCAGCTGGCATCGCTGCTGCTGCAAGATTATTCAGCGCAGAGAGCAGCGTAGATAGCGGCTCAGCGGGTCAGCAGCTGATCGCGTCGCTATTGGTCGAGCGGCTGCCTGTCGTCATCCCGAAGCCTCCCGAATGGGCTCTTAAATACGAGACGTTTAGGTTCGTGTATCGAGGCGCCTGGGAATCTCTCGAGGCTTTAGGCTCGTGATCGTAGTAGCCGCTTTCGCGCTTCAGGTTGATAGGTTGCGTCTAAGCCTTATCGGTTTTCTAGCATGCCAGGTGTGACAATAACGAGCACCCTTTCCCTCCCTATGCATTTGTGACAGCTTCGAGCGGAAACAGCAATACCGCAAGCAGTACCCTAAAGACTTTCTAGACGCGGCCTCTTCGACCAATGCAGGTGTGCCACGTGTCGGTTCCTTGCTTCGTTTCTCTCCCAACGGCAGATCTTCTGGCCCTTCACCCCTCCCACGTTGGCCATCCGGCCCTCACCCGCTTTTCCCGTAAAATCTCATGTTGTTGCCATCGCCAGCCTCTCCCTCCCGCATTTCCTCCCGTCGAGTCGTTCCAAAACAATTTCTGAGTCCCCCCAAACACGCCATATCCCGTTGCCCCGTTCCCGCCCCCATGCCCCCTCACCCAATCCTGTCACCGTTTCCCAACCTCCCCCGCCCCCCCTCCCCGTGCACACCCCCCTCTCCTCCGCGCGCACACCCCTCTTCCCCTCCGTGCGCACACTCCTCCGCGCACGCACCCCTCTTCCCCTCCGTGCGCACACTCCTCCGCGCACGCACCCCTCTTCCCCTCCGCGCGCACACTCCGCCACGCGCGCAGCAAGCGCTGAGGGGGAAGGCGAGGAGGAGGACGAGTACTGGGCGGGAGTCCTCGAGGCGCCGTTTGACGCGCCGTCCAGACGAACCGCTGCTGACGAGGCCAATGACGTCAGGTGGGTGGGTGGGAAAGCATGGAGTAAAAGAAGGTCTCTTGCAGACAGCTTCACTGTCAAGTCAAGCACTATTAAGGTGACTTTTGAGTCGACTCAAACTTTTGAGTCGACTCAAAAGTCAGCTCTCTTGCAGACAGTGTCACTGTCAAGTCAAGCACTATTAAGGTGACTTTTGAGTCGACTCAAAAGTCAGCTCTCTTGCAGACAGCGTCACTGTCAAGCACTATTGAGCCTCCGCACCATTGCTAAGCTAAACTGCTCCTACTGTGCCTCCCACATTCCCCCATTACCCTCCCTCCGCCTCACTGACCCCTCTCCCCCTCACTGCCCCCCTCTCCTCCTCACTGCCCCCCTCTCCCCCTCACTGCCCCCCTCTCCTCCTCACTGCCCCCCTTCTCCCCCTCACTGTCCCCCTCTCCTCTCCCCCCCTCAGCAGCAGGCTCCTGCAAGGATCGCTGGACAAGCGCCTGTACCTGTTCCTTCCCCTGTTTCCCCACTCCCCCAACTTCCCACTTCCTTTTTCCTCCCCCATCACTTCCACCCTATTTCCCACTTTCTTTCCTTCTCCCTACCCCACCCACCAGGTCCCTACAGCGGTCGAAGGACAAGCGCCCGTACCTGCTCTCGCCACGCCACTCCCCCACTCCCCCCACTTCCCGCTTCCTTCTTTCCGCCTCCCCTCTCCACCACCCACCCCCACCAGGTCCCTGCAGCGTGCACTGGACAAGCGCCTGTACCTGCTTCCCCCTCCAATCCGCCTGTACTTCCGCCTGTACCCTCATGGTGCCCCCAATCATCACCCCATCCCCCCCCGCCACCCACCAGGTCCCTGCAGCGCGCACTGGACAAGCGCCTGTACCTGCTGCTCAAGGGGCCCTCGCTTGCCGGCCAATCAGGCAGCGACACATGGCACTTCCCCGAGAAGCTTTACGAAGGCGACGACTCCATGCGCCAGGTGTGTTTTTCAAGCCATGTGTGCTTTACAAGCCACGTGTGCTTCATTCCAGCCATGTTTACTTGATTGATTCACATGGAATTCTTAAAAGTGACTCCGCTTCCCCCCATCCCTCCCAACCTTGCACCATGGCCTTCGTTCTTTTCTCCATCGCTTGGTTTCCTTCCCTGCCCATAATCTCTTTCTCTGTTATTTCCCCTCCTCTTCTCACATTCATTCTCTCTCTCTCTCCGCTTCCCCCGTGCGTGCGCCTGGCCTCGCCTGGCCTGGTGTGTTCGCCTGCAGTGTGCAGAGAGGGCAGCAGCAGCATCCCTCGGTTCCTCCCTCGACCTCTACTTTGTTGGCAATGCTCCCTGCGCGCATGCTCCCATGGTAAGCCCTGCGCACATGCAATCAAGGTGGAGGGTGCACTGCATGTACGCCTGCACTTACTCGTTCCTCAGGCTCGTCCCTAGACATCCATTTTGTTACCAGTGCTTCCTGCGCGTATGCTCCCACGGTAATTCCTATTGCTGTGTTGTGTTGCGGCATGAGAGGTGCAGGCGTGCACTACATGTATCCAATTCTCGGGAGCCTCGTTGGCAATGTACCATGTGCCTGTGGCCCTCCTGTACCATACCCGTTGTTGCTGCGTGTGACAGTAACGAGTATGACTGGTTGTACACCTGATACTCGCATCGACCTGCTTGGTCCATACTTGTTTGTTGTATACCCATTGTTCTCCCACAGCACCGTATGACACACCGACACACCTCATATCACACTATACCGTACCCTCTCTCAGTCATGGGCCTGTCTCACAAGACAGGCATGGCTGTATGCCTCCCTCACACCGTCCCCCATCCCCTCACACCTTCCCTTTGTCCGTATGGTAATCTTCGTTCCAACCAGGCTCCTGCAACAGCTTTCGGTTTTTGAGTCGACTCAAAAACTGGCTCCTGCCACAGCTTTCATCTTCGGAGCGCATGTGCTAGACGACATTTGAGACGTCTCAAAAGTCTTTTCCTGCACACCTTTCCCCATCCCCACACACCTTCCCCTTTCATTCTCAAAAGCCTTTTGCTGGCAACCTTCGTTCCAACCAGGCTGCCGCCGCGGCCTTCTTGTGAGCCCACGTCCTAGGAGGAGGGGAGTTCCTGCCAGTGTATGATGCGACCATTGTCACGCCGCCTAAACAATCGTCTCATCTCCCTCCACCTCCCCATCTCCCTCTCTGATTCTATCCCAGGCTGCAGCCACGGCATTCTTCTTCCGAGCCCATGTCCTAGGAGGTGATTTCCAACCAGCTGCCCGGACAATAAAGGATTTCGCGTGGGTCAGCAAGGCAGAGATCCCAGAGTATGTGGACCTTTCGGCCATCCCTGATGGACCCAAGCTCTTCCAGACGCTGCTCATGGACGAGTGACATCTCTTCCACGCAGTTTGCATGGACGAGTGATACGATAGGGAACAGCTGAGAGTGTTGTGCTGTATGGGTCAGCAAGGCGGAGATCCCAGACTATGTGGACCTCTCAGCCATCCCTGACAGACCCAAGCTCTTTCAGACGCTGCTCATGGACGAATGATGCCAAGATAGGGAGCAGAGTGCGATATACCGGTAGTAGGGAACATCATGCCGGCTGTGCTGCCGAAATCCCTGATGGCCTTTGCTCCCCGACAGGACCATGTGCTTGTCTATCACTAACGGACCCTACCCAAGCTCTCCCAGGCACTGCTCATGGTGAAAGCAGCGCATGCTACCTTCCAGTTGACAATCCTCTGCCTTTTGTCTTTGTATTCAGGCAGTATGCGATGCATATAACATCCACGCTCCAGCGACTCAAGTGTGTACTCTTGAACAATGGAAATCCGTGCAGTGCAGCCATTCCTTCATACCTTGTGTCATGGTGATTCCACAGGCACAGCTACTCATTGATCGAGGCGGTGAAAAACATCTCACTTGACATTAGGGAGCACAGTCCTTCACTCTGATTCGGTTTGCGTGGCAGGGTGCCGTCCTGAACCCTCTTGCATACGAGGCTGCCCAGGGTACCTACGGTACCGTACTGTACGTCCATCACAGGCTCTGATAGCCTATGCATGTGCTCTTTAACTGCCATCCATGGCAGAGAGCTTGAGTTCGGACAAGCAAATGTCTACAATGCAAGTGAAAGGAAAGCATGTGAAACACTTTTTCTGTCACACACACTGGTTCATATACTGTAACAGGGCAGCAGTGAGAAACTGCACCACCCACGCACCATTGCCCACTGCACTACCTAGTATATCCATGACTACAGTGCTTCTAGCACTGTTGGCATCTAGTAGTGCCATGCAGCACAGACCACAGGCCGCTCACAGGTGGTCTAGTGGTGTCCGACAACAGGGCACTCTATACAATAACTAGCAAACGAAGTCTTCGCACATCTCAACAGACGGGTCGGACCAGACACCAGCACTGGCAAAGCTTGTGTCCGCAGCAATGAGCACATGCATCCTGGTGCTCACAGCAGCGATTCACTGCTGCCCACAGCACACTGTGCCACCAACCGGAACACACCATCCCATGTCACAGCTCCACCACCCGGAAACACACTGTACTGCGCACCATCGCATTGAACCACTCCGCAAACCAGCTCACAGCAGCTGCCCCTCGAGGATCTTCGCGGCCCTCTCGATCGCCCGTGCTGCCCGGAAGATCTCATGCTGCACCGCCTTCCACTCCTCCCCATCCTCGTTATTGTCACTCCCCCTCACAGCACCACCTGCCCCAGCCTCGGGATTTTCCTTTTTGGAGGCGCTGCTACTGATGACATCAGCGATGGCATCGCGGATCCCGGGGAATGGTGACGTGGCATAGTCGTTGTCCTTCTCAGGGCCGTACACCTGGCAGGGGGGATGTTGGGGGAAAGAATATTTGAGATTTGGGAAAGATGCGTTGAGTGCACGCCACATGCACTAGCACAGCCAACCCACCAGCACGCACCCACACTCACACTACCTTACACACCATGACTCTTCCCGTCCACCCACCAGGTGCTTGAACCACGTGTAGTGCGGCCCGATGCCGTGGCCGTCCAGGAACCCCCGCTCCGCCAGAAAGAGGCGGTCGTTCACCGCGTCAAACGCCTTGGAGGACGGGCAGTTGGCGCTGCCTTCCTCCATGGGGCATCCCCTCCCCCTCGTGCACCTGCACGCGCTGCTGCTGGCCGCTGCGATGTGCTGTGGTGGTGGGAGGGGGGAGGGGAAGAGGGGGGAGAGAGGATGGAAAGGGTGTGGGAGACGAGCAGTTGGCGCTGCCTTCCTCCATGGGGCATCCCCTCCCCCTCCATGGGGCATCCCCTCCCCCTCCATGGGGCATCCCCTCCCCCTCCATGGGGCATCCCCTCCCCCTCCATGGGGCATCCCCTCCCCCTCCATGGGGCATCCCCTCCCCCTCCATGGGGCATCCCCTCCCCCTCCATGGGGCATCCCCTCCCCCTCCATGGGGCATCCCCTCCCCCTCCATGGGGCATCCCCTCCCCCTCCATGGGGCATCCCCTCCCCCTCCATGGGGCATCCCCTCCCCCTCCATGGGGCATCCCCTCCCCCTCCATGGGGCATCCCCTCCCCCTCCATGGGGCATCCCCTCCCCCTCCATGGGGCATCCCCTCCCCCTCCATGGGGCATCCCCTCCCCCTCCATGGGGCATCCCCTCCCCCTCCATGGGGCATCCCCTCCCCCTCCATGGGGCATCCCCTCCCCCTCCATGGGGCATCCCCTCCCCCTCCATGGGGCATCCCCTCCCCCTCCATGGGGCATCCCCTCCCCCTCCATGGGGCATCCCCTCCCCCTCCATGGGGCATCCCCTCCCCCTCCATGGGGCATCCCCTCCCCCTCGTGCACCTGCACGCGCTGCTGCTGGATGCTGCAATGCGCTGTGGTGGTGGGAGGGGTGCGTGGGATTCGGGGGGTGTGAGATGGGGCTGAGACGAGGTGCGAGGAGAAAGGGAGCGGGGAATAGGAGGGATAAGAAGGGAAGTGCGAGGAAGGGTGGAGGAACACGGGAAATGGAGATGGAAGATGGGAGGGACTGCTGAAATGGAACTCGTTCCCCACGAAAGCTGATGGGGCTGGCCAGGTGCGTGGAGCGGCCTAGTGCTCCACGCACTGCTGTGCACCCCACCGCACTGCACTCCACCGCACTGCACACCTGAACGCGGAACACGCGTTTTCAGGAATACCTAAATATCTTCTTAAATGCCTTGAGCAGCAGCTAGGATGCGAGAGACGGACACAAATATGCTCCAGAACGCTGTGCACCCCACCGCTGTGCACCCCTGAATACCAGCCTGAATGCGCACCTGGATTTCCGCTTCAATGCCCTGGGCAGCCACCAGGAGCCGAGAGACCGACGCAAAGAGCGGCTCCACTGAGAGAGATGACGGGGCGCCTTGTGCTGCCACGTCAGCCTGCAGCCTTGCAACGTCATGCTCCAGGTGGGCAGCGTATGCAGAGTAGTTGAAGGGCAGGCGGTGGTCGCCTGCCAGCCTGGCAGCCACGCCAGCCATCATCTTGGTGACTGCCACGTGGCGCTTGAAGAGTGGATCGGCAAAGGTGGCCATCCAATGATAGTTGTCGTACACACTGTGATACATGGGGTAGGCTGGGTGCAGAGGGGAAAGGAAAGGGAAGAGGAGGGAGAGGGGGGGGAAAGAGGAAAAGGATGGTTGATACGTTATAATAACCATCCAATGGTAGTTGTTGCACACACTGTGGTACACGGAATAGGCTGGTTGCAATGGAAAGGGGGTAATGGAAACAGAGCTCTTGAGGTGGCTCAAATGCCATTCAATGACACAAAGTAGGCTAGCCTAAAAAAACACTTCTGAAATTTCTCAAAAGTAACTCTCAGACCAACTTGTAACCTCATACCAGCCCACCCTCGTAAGCTCTCACCACCCCCTCACAAACTCACATCCTCCAAAGTGAGTGTCTGCTGCGGCAATCCCAAGGTGCTGCAGGAACGCAGCGTAGTCACTGCCTCCCCCTCCCAGCCGCCCCAACTGCACCATGTGGTTGGGAATGGCCGACAGAAATGATAGAGTTTTCAAACGTCTTATGAATTGGTTCGGGGATGCACAGTGGAATGATGAGTCCCTCACACCTTTCCTTTGGACATGCAGAATGGGGGATGTGAAAGTATTTGTGATATTAGGTGCCTTTATGATGCTACAGAGAGGTTATTCCATACAGCACAACTGGTGCTCTGGCCTCTCTCTAGTACCATACTATGTACCATCACAACCAGTATCCAGCTCACCCTCACAACCATGTGCACCATGCACCATGCATGGTCTACAACGCACCTCAGGCTCTGACGTGCTGTGCTCAGCCGCCCACCCCTCCAACATCGACTCGCCAGCTGGACCGTCGGGATTGGCCACCTGTGAGGGCGAAAAAGGGGGAGACGAAGGGGGGGGGAGAGAGGGGAGAGGGAAGCAACGGGAGAGTGGGGAAAGGGAGTGGGAGTGGGAGTGGGGAGAGGGACGGAGAGTGTGGGGAGAGAGGAAGAAAGGAATGAAGAGGCGAAAAGGTGACTTAGCTAGCAAGAGCGGGTTGTAAAGAAAGTATTCCGACATCTCTCATATCTCTAGGATTCTCAAAAGTCTCTCTTGAACTTTCGAACTGGTTGGTACTCGCTCAGTCCACCACACGGCTCAATGCCATCAGCACACCCAGCCACTGACGTCAGCGTGCCTACCTGGCTGCTGACGTCACGGATGAGGTCATCAAGCTGTGGGGTGGCGGAGGCATGGAAACCTCCTCCCCCCACAGCCACGTCCACGTTTATGTATGCCATGGCTGACGTCGCCAGCACTGGCGCGTTGTCCTCTACCCATTCGGCTGACCCAAGCTGTAGTGTGACATGAGCATGAGGAAGGGCAAGGGCATGGGGAAAGAAATGGCACTTGTATATTGAAGCACTCTCCCCCCCCCCCCCACGGCCACGTCCACGTTGATGTATGCTACTGCTGATGATGCCAGCACCGGTGCATTGTCCTCCGCCCACTCCGTTGATCCTAGCTGCAGAGACACATGAGCACGGGGAAGGGCATGGGCATGGGAAAAGAAATGGCACTTGTATTGAAGCACTCTCTCCCCCCCACCCCACACACAGCGACGTCCACGTTGATGTATGCCATGGCTGCCGTTTTCCAGCACTGGCGCATTGTCTCTCTACCCACTCACTCGGTTGACCCCAGCTGAATTGGGGGACAGACAGGGAAGAGGATGGGGACGGGAGAAGGAAAGAGTGAGAAAACTGTGAAGTTGAGGAGTGGGGGAGAAAAAAACACATTGTCAGTGCAACCACTATACACTGGCAACAAGTCCTCAGTGCCAACCCCATACTGTCACAGTGGCTAACCTTTACCGTCTCCCTTC